GCGGCAGTGGTGAGCTGCCTCCTAGGCCCTGGTCGTCGGGCAGCAATGGCGGCGGCGTGCCGCTGCAGTTGCCATTGGGTTCGGGGCCAGTGCAAACGCTGCCATACAACGTGATGCGAGAATCGCTATCGCGATTAGAGAGCATGCTTAGCGGCTCGGGCTCAGGCCAGGCCAGGCCTTCCAGCAGCGGCAGCAGCGGCCTGGGGAGGCCGGCAAGTGCGGGCGCACCCGCTGCAGTGTCGGCGGCAGGAAGCAAAGCAACAGCAGCCAGCGGGGGGAGCAAACAGGCGGCCAGTGCAGGGCATTCGGGCCAAAACGCGACGGCGACGGGGCGACCTAACAGCAGCGGAAGTACGACTAGCGGCGGTCGTGGAAAAGGAGGAATCACATCTGCGGCCCCCAAGGTCGGCGATGGCGGCGGGAAAGGCAGCGCCGCTGCCGCTGGGGGCCGCTCGCGTCCTGCCAGCGGCGGCAACCGCCCCGGCTCCGCCAGCGGTCGCCCGGCGGGTGCTGTGATCGCTGCCGCCAAAGCCGCAGTGGCGGCGGCGGGGACTGGGAGTACGAGCAAGGGCGCCGACGTCGCGGCGGTGGAGGTTGATGCGGAGCGGCTCACTGGGGACGATGCCGGGACGGAGGGGCTGTACTCGGAGGATGATGAGCCGGAGACGGCGACCGGGGTGGCGGCGGAGGTGCCTGACTTTGGGTTCATGTTCAAAAGCTCCGTTCCCCCCAATCCGTTTGCGCCCGGCAGTGGTCCCGGAGCTAAGCGATAGGAACGCCGCATCATAAGCTGAAGAGCGTGGAAGATTGCTATGCGCGGAACACGCTGCGCGTTGCGGTGTGCTGTTCCCGCTTGCTGTGTGTTCTTTTGCGCGCGGGGCTTTTGATCTGTCTGGGCTGTGCGGCCGACCGGGAAACGTTGCTCTGGGGTCTCTGCAGGTTGCAGGAAGCTCGGAGTCGTATCCGTGACGTGGTGTGACGTAGTGGGTTGGGGCGAGGGTGGGCTGTGCCATGATGAGAGGGGTGGGGTGGGGCAAGGTGGGGTGGGGCGGGGTGGGGTGGGGGTTTCGGACCGGGGGAAACCGGATAGTGAAGGCGCGTTGTTGCTGGTCTATGTTGGCGTACATAGGTCATGAAGTTTGCGGTTTATGGCAAAGCAGGAGTTGCGTGGCAAGGGGAGAGGAGTGCGGGTTAGGGCTCGTTGTTGGTGTGTGCGTGGGGGGCTTTTTGGTGGGTGGGGGGGGAGAGGTACCGGGGA